TATACATATTAATATATTAGAAAAATATTATGATTAATTTATATGTATTAATATTCATAGTTCTATTACTTACGAGTAATCATAAGCAAGTATATATCAATATTACAGAAGAATATTGTTTTGATGCTATTAAAGAGTCAATACTGCGTTATGTAGGAGAATAAAATTTTGTTATTGATAATAAAGAGAAATATGCTAAGTTTTCAAAATATGTGGTACAATTTAAACAAACACTATATAGACCACAAGTTCAATTGTTGAATGTATTATTATTTGGCGTGAGCAGTTGGACCATCACTAGATTAATAATGATACGAAATTGAGAATTCAATGAATGTTCAATAATGAACCAGAATATTTTTCAATCCAATAAATTCGTATATGATGTTCTCTTTATTGAAAATTGGTCATTAACCATCACAAGTTAAATAGGAACTAAATTTCTTATATTTCCTATATTAGGGTGACATATAGGGCATCGTCATCATTCACATTGATCATCTAAACATTATTTGTATCTAATAGATTTGACATATCTACTAGATGGTTACAAAATTTTCTCGACCTAAAATTTGCGAAAATACTGCTCAAATTTTAAATTATAACCATAATTTTTAGGTTATACAATCATGGTGTGTATTATGAATACTAGTGAGCTTAAATATCAACCTTTTAATACGTGTTAGTTAGAATGATGATAAATAGTTTAACATTGTTATTTGTTAAATGCTTTCAATTAATTTCTAAATCATTGCTATTGAGAATGAAGTGATTTCGAGTTCTATCTAAAGAATGCTATTAGCATCATATCAACGTTAAAGTTTTTTCCTTTATTTGGCATATAATCATAACCTAATTTTCATCTAATTATTTTGATAATATAATATATGTACAATTGATCCAACACAATGCACTGAGATGAAAATTAAAGAATGCTAAAAATAAATGCATATTTTGAACCTTTGTCCAAATGGATGATATTTATAACGCTGTTTACTGTTTATCAATTTGATTAGACAATTTTCTCAACATTCGAGGAGTAATTAGGAAGTTGAAAATAATATACAAATACATCATACTATTATGTAGATCCTTGCAAAGGACAATTCGAACCAAAAGTTCGAAACATAATTCATTTAGATGTATTTTATTCAAAGAAATTAACAATATTTCACACACTAATTTTAAAATGCTCCAACTTGAATTAACATCATGAAAGGACAATTTACATTGCAATTTATATATTTATAGCATGCCTTAAGCATGAATGCATTCGATTATAAGACAAAAATCTCTAAATGGAAATTGAGTAAATAAAAAAGATAGTTAAAATTAGAAGGCGTCTACTTTTGGAGAATATATAGACATAATAAAATGTAAAATTCCAAAAAAAATGTTCAGGTACCTGAAATATTGAAAATTGAGATATTTCAATAAGTTATGTCATTATTAAAAAGAAATTGAATTAAAAAAGAAAAAAAATATCAACAATACTTTTGTACATGGTATACTATATATTATAAAAGACAAGAATATCGAAATAAATTCGTCAAATCATATTGATAGAACAATTGATTTGACCAAATAAATAGATGCAATCCTAACAAATTGAATTTACTAGAGAAATTTGAAATTTATGGATTTAAAGTCCAAACACCTTAATGTGTATACTTATGTGAAATGAAAATATAAAGAGTAAAATCCTAATATGTAATATACGACTTTTAGCACAATAACATTTTTGCAAAAAATTGTATAAATAAATGAATTATCACGTGGTGGATATAATCACAAGTCTATATCTTGTTAGCTTGATAATGCATGAAATTTGATATGCATGCAATAAATGTGATTACAACTAACTTATCTTGTATGATTGTAATACTGTCCTTTAAAAAATTTATGTTTAGAAGCATATAATTTAAGTGATATGAGTTAATCATCTTGTACTATTTTTCCATTGACAAAGTTTTTGTCGCATTGGGTTTTCTGGCACGATTTTTAATAAAATGACTTTTATAGTGTACTCAAAAGAATAACATATTTTTTTGCCTTTATTATGATTTTTTTAGACATATTCTATGTGTAATAATATCCATAACCTACAAGACATATACCCTCAAAATAACACTCATATATTACAAATTATATACGACTCTCGAAGAGAGCACAACACAATCTATTTATCAACATATCATCATGTGATTAAAGATAAACAAAAATTGATAAATATCACCTATGAAAACGATATTGTTTGAAAGTTATAACAAAACAACACGAACGTGCTTCACCAAAATTGCAACATTGAAGATATTGACGTACAAGATATGGATCACTTGATAGAAAACTTCATTTATAAAAATTAGGACAAGCAGTTGTACTCTTTTTCCTTAGTTCAAGTTTTGTCCAATTGAATTTTTTTGACGAAATTTTAATAAGGCAGATATTTTATAATGTGTCATTGAAGAGATGAACGTTGTAAATTATATATTTATTAGTGAATGACAATTATACTACTGTAACCCTAGTTTTTTTACCATTGTATTCATAATTTTTTTTAATAAATATGGAACTTTGATTTTCAATAAAATACATAAAAGTTTATTGACTTCTATTTTCTCTTCTTTTTGTTTCTCTCCAATTTATAAAAAAAATTTAATTATTTTATTTTTATTATAAGTAAATATTTAATTTATTAAAATTTAACTTATATTTTAAAATTACTTATAAATAAAATATGGAAAAAAAATCATAAAATTATAAATCAGACGCACATACAATTTTATTCTTTTCAAAAACTCTCCTATCAATAAAATCTAGAAAAAATTGCAACCGAGGTACCAAACATTTCAATTATTTGCGGACTTTTCCAAACTTTAATTTGTATCACCCACGTTTCCAAACCTTTAAAAAAATTGCACCTCCAGTCCTCATGACGGTTTCTGTCCGTTTGACCACGAAAATCGTTCGTTAACCTTAGAAATCAAAAATTAGGAGGGGTCAAATGGTAACTTGACAATTTTCTCATTAAATAAATAAATAAACCCAAATTTCTGATTCCGTTCATTTCATTCCAAACCCAGATTCACAATCTTTCTCCACAGCTCCAAAATCCCACCAGACGAATTTAATTCATGTCTCTAATCTCTTCCAAAGGTGGTGGAATTTTGTTTTTTTAATTCCGGTTCACTATCGGACTTGTCAGTTTCCATGGGCTCTGCAGGAGGTGGTACTTCATTTCCAGCACTCTCACTTGCATTGGAGGGTTGGTCGGCACCTTGTGTTTGTGACTTCCCTCCTTGAGAGGATGCTGGCAAGGACGATTCAGGGGTGGACGGCTTGGGCTTTGGTTTTGTCAATATTGGCCCGCAAAACCTGCAGAAATGTTTTGTAGTTTTAAATATGACAATTTCAGATGCAAAAATAGAAGTCAAAGATGAAAATTAAAGACATTCATGGCCCATAAAATTATGAAATGAACTTGCAATCAGTTTGGGGCATCAACAAAAATTTGGGGCCAACTCATCAGTTTGCAGAGCCTCCGCAATGGCTATTTTAATCAAGAGTATCAATACAATACCAACATTTCTCCTTCTCTTCAGATCAATTTCTGCTTCCGTTTGTGGTGGTGAATGGTGGTGGTGGGTGATGGTAGTTGTGCAGGGGTGGGGAGAAAGGGAGGGGGGAAGATGATGAATAGTAGTTTAGGATTTTTAATTCTTTAATTTTAATTTTTTCATATGAAAAATGTAAAGTTACATATTTATTCTTTATAAATTGGTCAGGCAAGTAATTATTGGTCAACTAACTCTCAAACTAACGGTTTCTGTCAATCTGGACTTTGGGTGCAAATTGTTTAAAAATTTGGTACTGTAAATAGTACAAATGAAAGATTTGAACAAAGCCTGTAAAAAAGTGAAAGACCTGGTAGTGTGACTACAATTTTCCCTAAAATCTAATACTAAAAAATATGAAAAAAGCCAAAAACCAATCCCATCAAAATTACAAAACCCATGCTAACCCCTAATCCCTACGCCAAAACTCCCAAGCAGACCCCTAAGAAAGCAATCGAACTCGCAGAGTGAAAGTGACGGTGGAGAATATGGTAGTAGCAGAAGAACAGGTGGAAATCGACGTACTATTGAATCGAAAAAGTAACTCGAAGAAGCAGAAAACTCGAGCCCGATCCGCCGAAGTAGCCCGTAATACAGAGCCCGCTCAATTTTCCGGGCGGACAGAACAAATCAATTCTTGTACTACTTCACCAGGAATCATAACTTCAATTTTCGATTACTCGGTTGAAAATCACTTCAAAGCCGTTGATACGATATCCAGACTCTGTGGAGACCCAGAAATAATTGGTTCTAATCAAACCGAAATCCAACGATTCTCCAATGCTATTACATTCTTAAGGTAATACTAAATGGTTTTCATTGTAAATTTGATATTTTTGGTTGATTGGAATGTAATTGTTGAGCCTATGTTGATTTAAGTAATAAGATTTGGATTATGATATGATTGTAGAGAATGGAGGCACTTGGATTATGATATGATTGGAATGTAATTGTTGAGCCTATGTTGATTTAAGTAATAAGATTTGGATTATGTTCTGATTGTAGAGAATGGAGGCATTTTTCTTACCCTCCAAGGACCATAAAGTTTGCTTGTCAAAAAGAGAGTAATAGTTCCAAGGGAAAAGATGTAATAGGTGGGATTACCTTGCCTCAGTTTTCTGCTGCTACCGTTCCTAAGGCATGTTACATAATAACTTTGCAAAAATGAAAGCAGGGAAAACTTTTGGAGTGAAATAAATAATGTCTAACTGAATTGTTTTGAAATGCAGGAGGCACAGAATGGGGGAATGGTTTTAGGTTCTGAATCTAGGTAGGTTGAGGAATTGGATTGAGATGTGCTATTGAAACATATGTTGAATTTTTATCTGTTTATTTTGTACTCACTGAAGCTTGCTACAGCAAAGACTTTGTAATGTATGTTGGAGGCAGAGTCTGGGCAGTAGACTGGTGCCCTCGAGTTAACCGCAGTTCTCTCAATCCCATTAAATCTGAGGTATTTCAGTTAGTATTACTTTTTCTGTGACATTTTATACGTATTTTTACTTTGTTAAACTGAGAGGGTTCCCTTACTTAGAATTGTAATTAGAATGAATAACGAGCACAAGAACGTGTACTAGAATAGTTTGAAGATGTTTTGATATGATAGCAAATTGTTGAATCGATATCCTGCCACAGGGAAACCTTAAAGAACTGAATTTTACTATAGCTAAAAAAAAAAAAAAAGAGGAAAAAAAGGGCTAATGGAACTCATTTGTCTATAGTTTTGATTGACATTTTATAACAGGCGGAAACAAGGGGTTTCTAACACTCCTTATCATAGGTAGCCTCCAATAGTTCATACATCTTGGAGTATTAGTTTGTTATGAAAATTTTCCAATTATTGATCAACTAGTAGTTGCTGCACAGAAGCTAAAACACTTATAATTTTTAGAACATTTAATGAATAAATTTTCAGGGGATTATATGGATATAGCTGTTGGACCTCCTTGTCTAATAGCTTAATTTGTTTTGGATGAGACACATTTATTTATATAAATTTAGGCTTCAACATGTCCCTCACGTGCAAACTGGATTCATTTATTTTAGCACAGGCTGGAGACATGCACGCTTTCATAAATGGGTATCGGCAAAACTTGAATCCAGATCTCTATCTGTTTTGATACCAAGTTGAACTATCTCATCTAAAAGTTTATGTTGATAATGTATTTATTTATCCAAATTTAGCCCCTGTTTGTCTACCATTAATCTAAAACATTGTTTGCTACAGTAAAACTCTCCACCACACATTCACTTAATAAAATATTCTACACATAAATCAATAGAGTTACTTTAAATTTCAACCACACATTCTCCAAAAAGTACTATTCATTACACCATTTTCAACCCAGTAATGGTAGACAAATAGGCTCTTAGCCTTCAGCAGCATCACCTCTTAGTCTTTAAGAGTTCTTCTTTCAACTGAAAAGCACTTACTACACAGGATGATCTTGTAGGTAACTAAATTTTGGTTTTGGCTTTCTGGTAAAGTTTCTTCCAGTTTGGATGTTAAGAGGCAGCATCTATTTTCCAAGGCAGCTCTATACTGACATAATTCATTTCCATATTAATTGAATTATCTTTAGGATTTTCCAAAGCAATGTCTATTTTCTTGATGTATTTCCTTTTAATGAAATTACGTACTATGCCACTTTGGACCTTTTGATCTCTTTGTTAACTATAAAATGCTAGAAGAAACACAAATATTTTTGTGACCTTTGCGCCTTAATCATTACTTCTTTTCCAACTCTTACCTGAATTATTTTAGGGTTGAATGGTTATTCATTTTTTCAGTTACAACCTATGAAATCGTGGAAAATTGAGTGAGTTTGCTTTTTACATGTTTGTAATACATTAACCTTGTTTTTTATTATCCATAATTGATGTTACAGTTCGTCGCTGTTGCTGCTCATCCACCTGAATCTTCATATCACAAGATCGGTGTCCCTTTAACTGGCAGGGGTGTCATCCAGATATGGTGTTTGCTCAATATCTGTTCAGAAGAAGATGTACCTTCTCAAGTGAATAAAAAGCGAAAATTGGGAACCAAGAAAAAGGAAAAGGAGTCTGTTAAGGCCAACGAATCAATAAAACTGCAAAGGCCAAGAGGGAGACCAAGAAAGAAACCTATAAATGAAAATGTGGAGAAGATGGACTCAGATAGCCATTATTTGCAATCTCTTGCAATTGAATACCCTGAAGATTCATCTGGATTACAACCTGTACAGAGGGCTTCTGCAAATACAAATGAACAAGTTGTCAGTGAAGACTCTAGGACAGAACTTGATGATTCAGTAAATGCAGATGCATTATTGATGGCTTCTCAGGTGAATAAAGAAAAGGAAACAGTTAAATCCAATAAATCAACACGACCACAGAGGCCGAGAGGGAGACCACGAAAGAAACCTTTAAATGAACCTGTGGAGAAGATTGATTCAGAGAGCCAATACGTGCAACCTCTTGCAATTGAATACCCTGAAGATTCATCCATATTACATTCTATAGAGAGGGCTTCTGCAAAGCCAAATGAACAAGTTGTCAGAGAAGACTCTAGAACAAAACTTGATGATTCAGTAAATGAAGATGCATTATTGATGGCTTCTCAGTTGAATAAAGAAAAGGAAACACTTAAGGCCAGTGATTCAACAAAACCTGAAAGGCTAAGAAGGAGACCACGAAAGAAACCTGTAAATGTACCTGTGGAGAAGATTGATTCAGATAGCCAATATGTGCAACCTCTTGCAATTGAGTACCCTGAAGATCCATCTAGATTACATTCTGTAGAGATGGATTCTGCAAATATAAATGAGCAAATTGTCAATGGAGACTCTAGAACAAAATTTGTCGATTCAGTAAATGCAGATGCATTATTGTTGGCTTCTCAGGTGAATAAAAAGCCAAAATTGGGTATCAATAAAAAGGAAACAGTCAAGGCCAACAAATCAACAAAATTGCAAAGGCCAAGAGGAAGATCAAGAAAGGAATCTACAAATGAACCTGTGGAGGAGATTGAACATGATGATTCAGTAAATGCAGATGCATTATTATTGGCAGCTTCAAAAGGAACAGACAGCAGAAAGAAAATAGTTCGGGTTCACAGTAATGTTCCACATTTCCATGAACAAGATGAACATGTAGCATCTTCCCTTTCAAATCTCCAAGGATCTGCGAGCGGCAGTCTTGATTCCCTGAGGCCCAGCAAGAATATCGCCTATATCAATCCGTGTGATACCAATACTTCTAGCTGGTATGTGCCCAACGATGTTGCATTGCCTAGAATGATGTTATGTTTAGCTCATAATGGAAAAGTTGCATGGGATGTGAAGTGGCGACCAAATAGTGCTCATGACTCTGAATCCATGCACAGAATGGGCTATCTTGCTGTCTTGCTTGGAAATGGAGCACTAGAAGTGTACGATCTCTAATTTAGTTTTATTTCTTTCTTTGGGTACATTTCTTTCAGTTTTAAAAATGTGAATCTTGGTTTATTTTTTATTTTTTTTCTAATTTTAGATAGATATTTTCCTTTTATTAGTTTCTTGTACCTTTATACTCCGAAGGAAGTAATAAGATGTGGCAACTGTGACATAAAATAGTGACAGTGACATTCACGAGTCTCAGTTTCTTGTTGAAATCAATCTTGCAAAGATTATTCTGCTTGTAGATTAAATTTAGTTCATCTCCTACTCAACTTCAGATGGTTGGAGCTTGTTTTTGAAATAGGCACGCTTTATGTTATTTTTGTTGGTTTGAGTTTGAGCTCTAGTTCATGCTAGACATGTGTCAATGGTGTATAATTATAAGTTATCTTTATCAGCAATCAACAAATGCCACTTGACACTGCTTAAGTTGCATATGATTATTATATTCGAGGGCACTTTCTATTTTCTTGTTTGTTTTCTTAGTTTGTGATCAATATGCATATAATGCTTATTCTGGTAATAGATCTTATGCTAGTACATATTCCAAATTGTTTCCGAAGTTGTTTTGCCATGGTTTAACTTCAAAATGTATAATGTAAGTAGTACTTCCAGATTTATGTTCTACATTAAATTTTATTTCCCTCCTTTTGTTGTTACGCTTGTGGTATGGCCTTGCATCCCCCTCGTTGTACTTTATTTGACTATAAATCTACCAATAAAGGATACTGCCAAACCTCCCATAATCCTTGTGTGCTTCTGACTAGGATATGATCTTTGTTGCTTTATGGTTATAATTGATATTATATTTGTCACCACAATCTCATCGGTATGACGCCTTTTGTTTGAAAGTCCAAGAGCAAAACTGTGCAGGCCAGGCCAAAGTAGATAATATCATACCAACTGGACTGAGATGTTACAATTATGCTAGTGTTAATTCTTTTGTATCTATTAATCGGGCATTATCCTCAATCCACTATGCTTTTTATGTTTCATGTTGCTTTCTTACAGTCCTTTTACCAAAGGTATTTCTTTCTAATATCCTACTTACCTAATGCAGGTGGGAGGTTCCTTTTCCTCGCACAATTGAACTAATATATCCTGCTTGCCAAAAAGAGGGTACTGATCCTCGCTTCATCAAACTGGCACCAGTATTCAGATGTTCAATGCTGAAGTGTGGTGATAGGCAAAGGTAGTGTAGCTGATTAATATGTTTTTTTATTATCTATGCTGTACTTAAACATGTTTAAACATGTTGCCATGGAGAAAATTTATGTACTCTATTGGTTTGATCAACTAAATTCCAGAGTTTCTGCAGAGACCTAATTCTGTGAAGAAATTTATATTGAACAGACTATAGCCTATTTTCATATTTTGTCTTTGTTGCAAGGTCTGCATTTTTTATTGTGTATGGTAGGTGGATGATTTCTGTTTCATTTATCCTCAGGCGTGTGCCAGATGGGGGTAATGTAGGATTGGCTCTAGACTTGTGATTGTTAGCTCTGATACTTTAAATAATCCTGTAACTTGCAAATTTGTTCTTCAGCAGGGAGAACCATGCATGTGGTAAACATATTAAGCTGGTGAGATCCATTATCATGTTTATATACTTACACAATTGGTAAGATATGTAGTTGTGTTAGTTGCATGTTTACGGAAAGTCCTGCCCTGAATATGCTACCAATGCTCGAATTGATTACTCCACCACACATTGATTTTGACAGTGTATACTTGATTTGTGTTAACCAATGTTTAATTCGTTTTCGCCTTGAAATTCAGATGTAGATCTGGACCATATTTGCATTATTCACCTTGGTTTATGAATTTATGGTTCCATAATTTTTGTAATCATATAATATTCTAGGATGTTAAATATCGATATTTTGAAGATTAGATACTTCACAATCTTGTGATGTGATTCTCATTTGATGTCTAACTCATATACTGTGAATCTTTTCTTCACAGTATTCCTTTAACTGTGGAGTGGTCTACATCCTCTCTGCATGATATGATTCTGGCTGGATGTCATGATGGAGTGGTATGCTTTATACTTCCTTTGTTATTCTTTTAAATTGAATGCAATAGGTCACAATTAATGTTTCATATTAACGAGGAAAAAGGTACATCGCTTGCCTTTGTCCTCTTAGAGTTCCACTTGTTTAAAAACAATCTGTTAGTTTCCTGCTGCAAAATATTATATTTACACTGAGCTGTTTAGCCCAGATCTAAATTACCCTTGTCCAGTGATTCTTTATCTATCATTAAGATTTCTATCTTTCTGTAAATTCAGGTTGCCTTGTGGAAATTTTCAACAACTGGATCATCAACAGGTATTGACAATTTGGAAACCTTTTCTTCTAAAATGTATTTGCTGATATATGAAAGCTGTTGTTTCCTTTAAAAATGGGTTCAATAACTTCTTATTAGTGAAGTTGCGATAAGTTCTTACTCTCAACCTCTTCAATTTTCTTAATCTGCAGACACCAGGCCGCTGCTCTGCTTCAGCGCGGATACAGTTCCTATTAGGGCTCTTGCTTGGGCTCCAGTTCAAAGGTTAGTGATTCTCGATGAACATTTTCCCTTTTGCTATTATTTAGATTAGCATCATTAAGAGAGAGAGATTCAGTCCAATGGTCTGCAATGTAACCTCAGGGAACTTTGTCCTGGTAGGCTCCTGAGGAACTTAGATACTCTAACCAAAATAAATCGTGGAGAAAATTGTAAGAAAAAGAAGTCTCAATCTCCTGACATCCAAACCAATGACTCGATCCTGTCAAATTTGCTGGTATTTTCCAACCAGACCTGTATAAATGTTGAAGAGTACTGCCCCAATAATTCGTCCCCATAGACAACCTACCTTGGATGAGGAGGGGATTTCACATTTTGAAATAGCCTTAAAAAATAGAGTGGAGAAATCTTGCCCTAGCCAAGCTATAGATGAAAAATTTAACCAATAGCTGCCTTTGGTTGGCTGACAGGCAGATTTGAAAGTCTTGTTTGTCCTTTATTATATCTGTCGATCAAAGAAATCATGTTTTGTCGTTCTCTCAAAGTTATTGTGTCAAAAAAATGTTGAACATGATGCTAAGGAGTTACAAAAATTCCTACTCTATTTATTTTACCGTATCCAGATGCCTTTTCCTTTTTGTATGAGCTAATTTCAGTTTAAAGTACGTCCAAATTTGCAGTGATTCTGAGGGCGCGAATGTTGTTGTCACTGCTGGTCATAAAGGCTTAAAGTTTTGGGACATACGGTACGTAGGTTCTGTGCACATCTTATGGTTTGAGTTACTTCAGTCTCCTCTCTTCTTCTCTAGTGGTTATTCAGCAATTTTATTTTTCTGGAGGAAGTTTGTTCTGCTTTTTGACTACAAATTGTTTGGAATGAAATCGCATACAACCTGAGATATTATAATTTAGGAACTTTTAGCAAAATATATTGATGTGTTTCTAACATGCAAGTTTTGTTGAATAGCTGGTCAACAATATATGAGCTCAAATAATCGTGCATTTACTTACACTAAAAAGTGGGCCAATTCAGCCAAAATTATGAAATTAAGGTCATGAGATCCCATTCAACAACAGCAAACAAATCAAGACTTGCAATAATTTGGGCCAGCTATATGAATCCTTCCTTGCCATTTCGCTAAGTTCATTGCTAGATCTGCTATAATATCTAATCAACTAAATTCTTAGAAATTATAACAGGCCATGTTAATTTTGGACGACCACTCCCTCTTCTTATATGCTCTGCCACAATCATGTTTCTTCTATGAATGGAAGTCAATTTGGGTCGATGTGATCCATGACCTAACCACCTACATTGTCCTTCCGTTAATTTATTCTTAATTCACCACCTCTCTTTTGGTGTAAATTCTCATTTCTTTCGACTACACATCCATCTTAACATTTTCATTTCCGTAACATTCATATAATGAATGTAGCCTAAATGGAACATTCTTAAGACAGAAATCCATAAGAACTTTTCCATTTCATCCATCCCTTTCCAATCTATGCATTACATCACCTTCATATCCCTCGTTCTTTGTTAATAGTCGAACCTAGATACATGACAAATTACTTTCTCCAACACGTGATTTGCTGTAGACTATCAAATTGAATTGTTATCCTCAATCCTAATACTACCAAATGAACTTTGTATGTATTCTGTTTTGGTTCTATATGACTCAAAACATCTAAAGTTCTAAGTTCCAGTTTAACTCCTCTAATATATCATCGGCGATAACATATTCAATGTCCTGTAAGCTCATCCATAAGTAGTGCAAAGAGGGTAAGGGCTTAAGGTAGGAATAGATGCAATTTTATAGTGAGAGAAATCTCTATTAATTACCACTACAGCTGACACTTGTAACTGCTTCATCGAACATATTCGTAATTATACGCTTAATCTCTACTATCAAGAGCCATAATGACACGAACTAGAGAAATGAAGGCAACAGACTCAATGAGTTACGCCCCACTTGTCTAGCAAGATTTCACAATTAAAAGAGGGTTACAATTTCAGTCTCTCAGAACCCACGTCTCTCTATTTTTCTCTATTCTATAAGAAGGGCACACTCTAGTACCCTTTATATAGGGAGGAAACATTGGATTAGTATGCTAGGTTACAGACTTTCAGCATTAATAATGTTGATATATCTAATAAAATTTCTCTTTCTCTAGCACCCACCATAGTACTTCCCTAGGCACCCTATCATACACTTATAGATCAATAAAAATCATTTGAATGTATGTTTATTTCTCTATATATCTCTATCAATCTCCTAAGCAAGTAAATGGATTCATACTATATATTCCCGGCATGAAATCAAATTTACTTTTTGAAACCTTTGAATTACACTGTAATTTATGTTAAATCACCCTCTCCCATACTTTTTAGAGTATAGTCATGAGCTTGATACCTCTATAATTTGTACAATTTTGAATATCTCCTTTATTCATAGGCATTGTAATGCTGTTTCTCCATCATCAGTAATGAGAGACCCTATATGATGTCAAATTGTCTTTTATGTTCTAATTCATTGTTATGGAATCCACATACTCATATGTTCATATTGATTTGAAGTCTCAACGTATTTAATAAATAGTTCTCTAACACTCTAGTTGCCCACCTTACGACAGCAAACATCAAATATTGATTTTTATATTTTGATAGATAATCGTAAAATTTTATTAATCTAAGAAGAATACACAAGAAGTGTATTATCAGTTCAAACAAGAAAGAAAAGATAAAAAGTTAGGCAGCCCCTCTATAAGATTGCTAGTCGCTGCATTAAACCAAGTATACAAAGTCAGATAAAAAAATTCTCTAAATTGCTCTGTGGTCCGTATTTGGTCTTCAAAGCATCGGTTGTTCATTTCCCTCCACACACACCAAATAATGCATCCCGGGATAAGATTCCATGCGAGCTTGCTATCCTTATCCCGAAGTTTCCTCCTCCATGCCCGCAACACATCCTCTATACGTCTAGGCAACACCCAATCTATATGTTGAGAAGCCAGAATACTATTCCACAGCCAACGGACACCGTCTCAGTGAATGAACAAATGGTCATACGCCTCCCCATCACTCCTACATATATAGCACTATTCGGTAACATAAAAGCCTTTTTTTCGGAGATTGTCCATCGTTAATGCCTGTTCCCTCACCACCGTCCACAGTAAAAATACCACCCGTGGAGGCAATTTATAATGCCACACCATCATCTAGGGGAATGAACTCTCCACAGGTCCCAGTAGAGATCTAAAATAAGAGCGAACTGTGAAAGTACCATTCCGTGCCGCCTCCACCGGTTACGATCATCCTCTCCTACCCGAATTTGCATCTCATACAAGTCCGTTAGTAACAATGCATAGTCATCCAACTCCCAATCCTGCAAACCTCTTTGAAACGTGATATTCCAACTGTAAGTCCCATTGTTGATGGCTAAAACGTCATTCACCATAGCAGAAGGTATCATAGTAATGCGATGCAAGGAAGGAAAATCCAACTTTAGCGGTAGATCTCCACACCAACAATCATCCCAAAATCTGATATTATTACCATTCCCCACCGCAAAAGTCAAGCTATTTCGAAAGTCGTTCCGTTCCATCCTCGTCTAATAAACTTCCATAGACTCACCCCGTAAGACCCACGACTCTCACCCGAACACCATCCCCCCTCCATCACACCATACTTCGCCCTAATTATTTCTCTCCAGAAACTCTTCCTCTACACACCAAACCGCCACAGCCATTTGCCTAATAATGCCTTATTAAACAAAGTACGTCTCCTCAATCCGAGACCTCCCATCCTCAAAGGAGAGCAAACAACCCCCAATTTAACCAAATGAAGTTTCCTTCCCTCTCCCAACCCGGCCTAAAGAAATTCCCTTTAAATCCTCTCTAATCTATTAGCCACCGCAACAGGAATCGGAAACAGTGACATAAAATAAGTAGGGATATTTGATAGAGTAGATATAATGAGAGTTAGACGGCCACCCTTCGAGAGATACATACGCTTCCACCCTGCTAATCTCCGTTCCACCTTCTCCACAATAGCATTCCAAATATTAACACTTTTAAACCGCGCCCCTAGAGGAAGTCCAAGATACGACATAGGTAATTGTGCAACCCTACAACCCAATATAATAGCTAGTTCCTCCACATTAGTTACCTCCCCTACTGGAATAGCCTCGGATTTCTCCAGGTTAACCTTCAATCCTGACACCGCTTCAAAGCATAAGAGCAACCTGCGCAAGTTCCTAACTTGCTCCTCAACTGCATCACAAAAAATCAATGTGTCATCTGCAAATAACAAGTGGGACACCTGCAATTGACCAAACCATTTGCATTCGACCCATTTTTCCTTTGATTTTGCATAAACGGCTCATCTGATGACAACACAGGCCTGCTGGGTGATCTAGGAGCATTCTGCTGATTTTTTCGAATTTCCACGTTTTCCGGCGCCAGCGCGTGGCCCTCACACGCCGGCAGGTCCACCGCCGGAGCGGCGCGTGCAGCGTCGGACAACACCACCTGCGTCGGAATGGCCTGCATAGGACGCCGGTCAGGCGCGTCTTCCAGAAAAGAGGCCGGAAAAAGGGAAATCTGGGTTAGGATCCCAGATCGGTCTATTGCTTCTTGACGGCTACTGCCGTCGCCTGAACTTCCCGTCTCCACCCAGAATTTCTCGCCTGAAGATCTTGCTCCTAATCGAGCGGCGGTGCTAGGGTTTCCACCTAGGGCCGCCGCCTGTGTGGTTGGGAGTTGGTCTGAACAGCCAGAGTTTTGTGGCGTGAGGCCGGTGGGGATGTGTTCGCAGGTCGGTACCTCGTTGCCGTTGCCGATAGGAATAGATGATTGGGTGGTGGGTAGTTGGTTGAGTTTGGATATTGAGGGAGCTGGCTCCATTAGGACCTCACTTAAATATTGATTTTTCAGATTAGGAAGATTGAATTAGATACTGATGAGACAATAGGATCGAAATTTTATTATAATATTTCATAGATGATATTGAGTGGATCTTGGGGATCTGCTGTCAAACTCTATTGAGGATAGGAATGTTAGATATACTAGAAGAATCTTGGTCTCCCCAACTGAGGAGGCAATAAAGAGGATGGAAATTAAGGAAATGTTTAGATGAGGTAGGTGTTTTAAGGTTGATAAAATAATCAATAAGAAATTAGAGACTATAAAATACATGAAGAGAGAAAAAGTGTTTTTTTTTTTGACAAGTATGAAGAGAGAAAAAGTGTTATTGGTAACTATATGCAAAAATAAAGGAGATATTAAAATGTACTAACTATAGAAGAGTAGAAATCATAAATATGAGATGGGAGTGTGATGGAGCATTGGAGCACATGCTACTCTGAGAGAGCTAGTTTGGTTTTATGCATATCTAGTGGAAGCCCATTTACCTGTTTCAAGTGTACCTTAGTTAGGTGGTTATGGGGAATGAGAAATTTCTATTACCACTAATATGTATACGTTATCATTATTTTCTTTTAGTCATTGATAAGTTACCATTATAAGATCCCTTTGTACGTACCATTTGTTGATGATATTGTTTTCATTGATGAGACTGGGAAGGAAATAACAAAAGTGGCCAAAAAGGATCATATAGCTGACTCCAAATTTATTGACGATAAGGCAAAGACCATTGTACGCAATCACTAAACTGAACACAGCATTTACATCAAAGACATTTTTACCCCTTCCTTGATGGTGGATGTATCAATTTTGTGCTAAACTTCTCCTGTATATGCAGTGACCCATTCCATCCCTTGTGGGACCTTAATCCTGTTCAGGGGGTGATTTATAGTTTGGATTGGCTGCCAGATCCAAGGTACAGTTTTATATGCTTTGGTGGAAAAAAAATTCCATATGCCTGTGTCTGAATCATTTCATTCTTGCTCAACTTGTCTCTTTTTGTGCTTTTAGATGTATTATAGGATCCGGTGATGATGGATCAATATGGATCCTCAGCTTAGTGAAGGCTGCACAAGATATCCCAGTTACTGGAAAACCTTTTTCTGGAACACAGAGACAAGGATTGCACAGTTATCACTGTGCCTCATTTCCAATATGGAGTATTCAAGTGTCTCGGCTAACAGGTAGTTCGTTTCTAAGATATTCTTTCGTTTAACTTGCGCTAGTTTGAAATCTTACTGGTGATGCATTTACTGTGGGAAAATGCCCAAATGGAGGACAAAATATATTTGCCTTCTGATGCTAAAACCTATCTTTAAGTAGGCATCTTCTCCATCTATACGTACACAATGCATCTCAGGAGAAGTAGAATTTCGTGATTAGTCTGTTCAGAATTCAAGCATTACATGTGGTGTACGGGTAAAAGGGAAAAAGAAATCAAAATATTCTGTACACTAATTCAACTTAATTCTAGGGCAGAAAATAAGGAATTAAAATTGGTAAGAATATAGAGAATTAGTACAACAATATTTTCCTAATAAATGATATCTTTCCAAGATAATGTCTTGAGAACTCCTCCCCAAGCTGAACTATAGATGTTTGTCATTTCCAGCTTGCTCAAAATTTCGTGGAAAGGTTTAATGGCTAGTCCTTTTGTCGTAAGTCTACCTATTGACCATTAGAGGGAACGTAGGTTATGGGGTCAATCCACTGTCTATCTTCTCCTTGATAAAGGGCTGATCAACTTCAACATGTTTTGTGCGATCATGTTGTACCGGATTGTGTGCAATACTAATTGCTAACTTGTTATCACAGTGTAGTCTTATCAGTCCTTTTATATTAATTTTAAGTCTGTAAGAATGATTTTCTACCACGGTAGTTTACAAATTCTATGAGACATTTGAATTCAGCCTCTACACTCGACGTTGCTACCACTTGTTGCTTCTTACTTCTACATGTAACTAGGTTTCTTCCTAAGATGGTACAATAACCAGAATTTGATCTTCCATCAACAATAGACCTGCTCAGTCTGCATTATACAGCTTCTAAGACAAGTTTTTCAAATTATGGAAGAAAATTCCCTTGCTCTAGGTTAGCCTTTAGGTGTCTAAGGATTCTATAGACTGCATTCATGTGTGACTCCTAAGGATTATGCATAAATTGACTGACAACACTCACTGCATAAACTATGTCTAGTCTAGTATGGGATCTGTAAATAAATCTCCAAACGATACATTCCTTTATCAACCATTTTGTCATCCTTGTCTTCTCTCAATCTATGGTTCTGTTCAATTGGGGTATTTCCTGGTTTGTAGCCTAACATTCCAGTTTCCTTGAGGAAGTCCAACATGTGCTTGTGTTGTGAAATAAAATGCCCTTATTTGAATGAGCTACTTTGATTCCTAAGAAATATTCGACTCTTCCCAGTTCTTAACCCCAAATTCCTTTGCAAGATGACCATTCACCTTTTCTATCTTCGGTCACAATATCATCAAAATTGACAATTAGTGCAGTTACTTACTGTGTTCATTGTGTTTTATGAACAATTTTTGATTTCCTTGGCTCTGGTAATATTTCAACTTCACTATTAAATGGGTGAATTTTCCAAAACATGCTCTTGGAGACTCTTTTGGTCCATGTAGAGCCTTTTTCAATCTGCAGACCTTGCTTCTGCCAAAACCATGTATACTTTCTCTTCCAAGTCTCCGTGTAGAAATGCATTTTTTACATCAAAGTATTGCAATTTCCAATCTAAGTTGACAATTAAAGACAACAACACTCTAACGGTGTTCATCTTCACACAGGAGCATAGGTCTATCGATTCTAGGTATACTCTTTTGGTACTAATCTAGCCTTGTGTCTCTCTAAGGTACTGTCTGCCCTGTACTTCAAGGTGAATAGCCACTTACATCCGACAGGTTTTTTCCTGTAGGTAGATCAACTATTTCCCATTTTTTATTTTGACCCAAGGCCATCATTTGCTCACTTATAACTGTTCACCCACCTTTACTCTTTAGTGACTCATTGAAAGTTTTTGAGATCTCTATTGTGTTCAATTTTGTCACAAATGCTTTAAATAGGGGAGATAACTTTTCCAAAGTCACGAATTTGGCTATAGGGTGTTGGGTAGATGTTTGGGTGCCTTTCCTAATAGCTATGGGAAGTTGGAGATCATCAGAATTACTAAGAGTATAAATCTTTTCATTATCCCTATTTATTGCAATTTCGTTACCTCGTCATGTTGAATATGTTGGATAGGTCGTGTCCTTGAATGAACTTGACGTGACAATTGTTGATCTTCCCTTTCTTTCTCATTTCTGTGTTCTATAGAGGCAATGTATTAAATTTGACTCCAGATTATTTGAAGCGTAGACTGGGGTACTGGACAGATCAATCTCTAAAGATATTAGGTCCTATCTTCTCTTACATCCTTCTCTGAAGATAAGACTTGAAAGATAGGAAAGATTTTCAATAAATGTAACATCCATAAAGACGAAGACTTTCGTAGAAGATGGATAATAACATTTTTAACCCTTTTTTTGTTGGGGAATAACCTATAAAAATACATCTGGTAGATAGGATCAAGTTTGGACTTGTTTTTGGAGTATACATGTATGTATGCTACACAACCAAACACCCTAATAGGATTAGGATTAAGTCCATCAAAGTGTAGAAAGATCATGATACCATTTCTGAATTTTCAAAAAATGTAACATCCATAAAGACGGAGGCTTTCCTAGAGGATGGATAATAACATTTTTAAACCTTTTTTGTTGGGGAATAACCTATAAAAATACATCTGTTAGATAGGATCAAGTTTGGACTTGTTTTTGGAGTACACATGTATGTGTGCTACACAACGAAACACCCTAATAGGAATAGGATTAAGTCCATCAAAGTGTAGAAAGATCATGATACCATTTCTGATGGAGCTTTAGAATCAAGAATTCTGGAAGGAATTCTATTAATTCGGTGAGTGACAGTTAAAAGGGCTTCTCCCTAATAGGTCTTAGGAACATTCATTTGAAATAGCAATGCTCTGGTTATCTATAACAATGTCTATTTTTCCTCTGTTTCCCATTTTGTTGGGGTGTGTTAGCACATGAAGATTTGTGTACAATCCCCTTTTCCTCAAGATAAAGAGAATCTATTTAAGTATTCTCCCTCATTATCTAAACGAAGAATTTGAATTTTTGTACCAAAATGTGTGTTAATCGTTTGATGAAAAGCTGTGAATGTAATATGGACATCAGATTTATGTTTTAAGAGATATACCATAGTCAATTGTGTATGATCATCAATAAAAGACATACCATTTAGATCCAGTCCCAGACATGTTGGATTGTTATGAGGGATCCCAAATATCAGTATGAACCAAATTGAAAGGGAATGAGGTCTTTTATTGCTTAAAGGAAAAGGCAGACTATGATGCTTTGCTAATTCACATGTTTCACACTGAAACTTATTAAAATTATACTTTTTCAAACAATGTAGGAAAGACTTTCTTTAGTAAACTAAAAGATGGGTGTTCTAATCTGAAGTACCAAACTCGAATCTCTTTTTTTATAGAGGGAACACAGTTATTAAGAGAAAAACTAGCAAGACAATTAAATTATTTATCTGATGTATAGTAGGTTACATTTAACTTTGGCAAAATGTAAACATTTTTCAGGTTTAAGGATGAAATTAGATCAATGTTTCCTTGACCTTTAATGTTTGTTAAGGTTCCATCAGCCATTTTAATGGTTTGGTTATTCGACAATTGGAGTATAGTTCGTGTTAAGGTCTGAATTTTTTGCCATGTGGTCAATGACTGAGTCAATGATCCAAGAGTAACTACCATCCCTGAGGCATTAAGAGCATGAGATTGTTTACCAGCCTGAGCTACGGAGCATGAGGGGCTTAGTTTATCAAGATGATAGAAGTGCCCTGAACTTGTTTACCTCTTCTTTGCTTAGGACACCAATTTCTTGGATTATGGGCTCTGAATTGTCTTGAGAATTCATTTCTGCATTCACATAATGAGCCTGATTACTACTGAGCCGATCTGTAGTTGTTAGCCCCATTTCTTTGTCCTATCCGAGAAGGTTTTTTATTCAAATTCCAGCAAGTTTCCCTGTTGTGCCCAGTCCTGTTTCTGTAATGGCACCAGGAGCCATCTGTACTTTCTGTTTTTCTTCCTGTAGGTTTCTCTGTAGCTGCAACAGTAGTCTGAGTTGGTTTTGAAACAGCCAAAGCAGACCCTTCAGTTGTCTTTGTTTCAAACATTACTCGTCTTCTGTCTTCTCCTCTTACATTTGGAATAAATGTAACGACCCAAAATTTAACAATTTAAATCGCTACATAAAACGTACATTAAACATTTAATGGCTTGTAATAAATGATAATAAACAAAAATTTAGAAGTTTAGTATATTAAATTATAAGAAGATTTAAAAGATTTTCCATTCAATTTGGTCTCTCGTCTATCAAGAAATTCCCTTTTTTATAAAATGGATTTATGGGAATCTATAAATTAATCCGGTATAACATGATTAAAAGTTTTATTTCTAGCCTTATCTTTAGTTTCATTATCTGTGAATTTTTATATAAGAAGTTGAGCATGTTTTATTTATTATAAAATTCCCATGTGTGTTATTTTGTTTTGGTGAAACCAAAATTTTATTTATGGTCAGTTATGGGAAATAAAATAGAATTTACATCGGTTCGAATTCAGTATCTAAATTGTGTTGCTGGAATTAATAGAATACTCGGATTGCATGAAATTATGATTTTTAGGCTTTGTGCATATCCTCACAGCTTTTCATGCCTCGGCAAAATGAATATTTATATAGGAAATATATTTTTTTTCAATCATTTCTAGGATTTGTCTATGCCACTTCCATAAATGAATAATGCAAGTCCATTTTATGAAAAGGGAATTTCTCAATATAAGAGAGGCCAAATTGAGTGGAAAATCTTTCATATCTTCTTATAATTTAATATACTAAATTTTTAGAATTGTCTATTATCATTTATTATAAGCCATTAAATGTTTAATGTAAGTTTTATGTAGCGATTTAAATTGTTGAATTTTGGGTGGTTACAATAAACCTCTCCAAGGGATGGCAAGGCTTCTTTTCCAAGAATCTGAACCTTTGCTCGAACTCAATGCACTGTCCTGCCAAAAATTAAAAAATCCTCTCTTTCCCTGAAACTTCTATAGTATGGCATCATCAAACATTTCATTTTAAAACTAATGATCCATTTTAGCCAAAGACCTTTCAATTATTGTTAGGTTATAGTATTCAGTGAGAGTTTACCTTGTTTTGTGTCATGAGCTTTGCACTTAATTTCATAGATTTGTAAAATCATGCTTACTATGGAATATGTTTGTGAAATAGCTTCCTATATCCTTTTGGACGTAGACAGAAACTTGTAGGTCTTACTCACCTCTGGTCGTATAGAGTTCCACAGTCATGACATTATCATCGAGTCTTCAATATCCCACACTTGAAGTCTTTTCTTTTTGGTTCTAGCCCTGTCAATTGATCTAGCTATCCTTTCCCTTTGATATAGGTTTTTGACAGCTTGTGACCACTCAAGGTAATTTTGGTCACTTAACTTAAACGTTATTTAAAGATTCAATCAATCATTTGTGCAGGGGCTGGTTGGAATGAAGTTTCAGGCATTTAGATTTGGGACGGGTTACTTCCAATTGAGAAAAGAACAAGGAATTTGGCAGAAACAAGTGGCTAGGGTTTTTTAAGAACCTATCCCTATACCATGAAGAGAAGTTCATTTTCTTGATAATCACTGTAATAGATGTCCAGATTTATAGATAAGCTGTTATGGGTAAAAAAGGGAAACTGAAATCAAAATATTCAGTACACTAATTTAGCTTAATTCTAGGGCACAAGATAAGTGAAAATGGTAAGAATATGCAGAGTTAACACAGTAGTATCTTCCTAATTAAGGAGATCTTTCCTTCTAAGATAAGATATTCAAAAATGTGCACACCCAATTTACATCCATAAAAAAGGGATGATATTTGATGCTTTGTAACTTATTAGTCTTTTCCAGCAAGTTACTTGGAAGGAGAAAAAGGAAGAAAACGAGTATCAGTAAGTTTTTAGTATCCATAAAACTACGACTGCGTTTGTTAACTGTTGTATATGTAAGAGTTACACTGATTGATGTAAACCTATATTCAAATATAAACTATAAAGGATATATAATTGTTAATTATATCCTACTCGTGTATTTTAAGAATTTCTCATGTCCAATCTATTTCTCTTCTATCTTTTTATTTTTTTTTCTTTTGGTGCCGTTTTATGTTCTAAATGTGTTTTTGGGATGCATAAATGTCAATGTGGGGGGCTTTCCAGGAGGGGGAGTCCGTGGTCCTTAATTGACCCAATCGTGCATGTTTACTAATCTCACGGAAGTGATATAACTAATCAATAATTAAAATTTTGAGGAATTTGACCCCATCTTGGAGAAGTGAGATGTGGTAGCACTACTTTAGTGCAAATCCTCAAATCAAATTTTAGACTGTTCTTAATCCTACAAGTCTCTATTACGTTTTTTTTTGTTCTGTTTGAGTACTACAGATCTAATGTGTTGCAAATATAGCATCATAACATTGTACCCTGTTTACTATGATGCACCGACATGCGTCGGGTACGCCAAGTGGTGTGTCAGAAATTTGTATTGATTTTCTAAGGTCTGACACGCTTTCGGAAGGACACGGCTGGTATAAGGTCCAACATGGCTGATGGATTTTAAAAATGAAAAAAAGAGAGATATTTGTTCTCATTTTATATGAAAATTAGGCACCTTAATTTTTATCTTTTCTTAAGACTTTTCTATGGTTCTACTTTATCATTGCAGCAATGTTCCATTTTTGTAGTCGGCTTATTCTCTTTTACTTTCTTGATTCAATGAATTTTAGGTATGGTTGCTTATTGTGGTGAGGATGGAACTGCCCTTCGTTTCCAGGTGAGCGGTTGGTGTTATCTGAAATGGTATTTTTTAATTATTATAGTGAGATTTCATATTTTATTTTTCTTCTAAATGTAAATGGACATCTTAATTTGTACTTCTCTTTCAATTATTCTAAAATAGTGTGGTAAGTTCCTGGGTTTGATGTTCTGTTTGCACAATTATATTGATAAGAGCAGCGAAGACTGCACAATCATGTTAGCAAGTCTAATTTTGTGTCAAATTTTTGAAGCTACAAAGACAATGAAATCCATTCTCTTAAAATAGCATTGACCTACAGGAAAATATTACATCTCCTTTCTCAATTAAGCATTTAAACATCTGAAGGTGTTGAAAAGGGTTACTAAATGCTTGATAACCTTGTTATATGTCCTCAATCTCATTTCCATTTAATTTTCACTAATTTATAAATCTGGTATACCCCTCAGTGTTGGTAATAAACTTTGAATTTTTTTCATTAAAATCTATAAAAATATAAACAAGTGAACCATAGTTTGGGAGTTGGGTATTTCTGGTAGTCTCGTTTCATATGTTGGATGTGAACTGTACTGTTAGTTTATCTGCCTTGAAAACCATCAGCTATTGCATAACCCTTCTACTTTTCTGATTGTAACTTTTACGTCTTTTATAACTTCTATTGTAATCAGCTGACGACTAGGGCAGTGGAGAAAGATCCTTTGCGAAATCGGCCCTTTCATTTTCTCTCTGGATCATTGATAGAAGAGGAATCTATTCTTACTGTGGTTAGTCCATTGACCAACACTCCGGTCCTGATGAAGAAGTCTCTCGGTGTGTCAGCTGATGATGTCCCAAGAATTAAAAGTGGGTCCTCGGCTGTAATAAATCAGGAGAAAGGAGCAAAGGAGCAAACGGCCATATGTGAAGCTTCGGATGAAAAAACTCTAGGTGATTTTTGATATTTCCAGTGAATATTCAGTTTTGGTGTTAGAAACACTGTTCATTACCCAAATTATAGGCCGAACTTTCATTTCTAATAAGTCATGGAGCCTTCATTTTTGTTTTAATTTAGGCACTTCCGCTGATTTAATAGAAATAATGACATGGCTAATAGAAGATATGACGTGTCGTGGGAAATTTGGTAGTGCATTGTTTTTATCATTCAGTTGGGCAAAGTCCCTTGGAATTCTCTTTCCTGAGCATGTTCAGTTCTATCTATCGCAGCTCTGTGCTATGGAAATGATCTGGGAACTGAACTTGAATCCAACGACCCATGCACCATTGTACAGAAGAGTAAGCCAGCACCGAAATCAAAAAAGAGCGATAAGAATAAGTTGAAAGCCAATCAACAAGCTCAAATATCTGGAGATGACGTGGGAAATTTCCTGGGGGAAGGAAGTGACGAAGGTCAAATTCGGCGTGAGATCGAGGTTTTCCCTCCCAAAAATGTGGCCATGCATAAAGTGAGGTGGAATATGAACAAAGGCAGTGAGAGGTGGCTCTGCTATGGAGGGGCTGCTGGTTTGGTAAGATGTCAAAAGGTCGACATGTCTACTTAGATGTTTAAATTAATCATATTTAAAGCTTCTCTAGCAGTAGAAAATATGCATATCTTTCTATACATGCTTACGATAAAGTTTTAGCCTGGTATGTATGTTTCAACCGACCAAGTACTTGGTTACATGTTCATAATAAAGGGAGTTTGGAGGCAGGGGAAGGAGGTTCTTGTCTGTTTATTCATAATGCTGTAAAATTAACTATAAAACTCGTATTATGTACAAATTTAGCTTGGGAATTTTGACGTGTAAATGGAGGCTTCATTAATATTTAATATAATCTATATTCTACAGCTAGAAAACCCTTTTACTATGACATTCCTTTTGTTCTCGTGGACTACTTTATACAACTTGATTGATTAATGATGAAGTTGGCCCTTGTTTGAGAACCATTCTTTCAAAATTCCATTTTTTTTGCCGTATTCATTTTCAACCATACATTTTCATAATAAAATATTCTTCACCTTAATCAAAAACTTTTTGCTACTTTTTAATTACACATTTTCTAAAAAATTGTAATTCAAAAACTCATTCTTTCCAAAAAAAAACTGTCAAACAGGGGTTATAGTTCAAGGATTTACATTAGCTATCAGCCTACTGCAACCTCCTTTTTCCCGAGTTTTATTGCAATGAAAGAGTTCGTTGGAATGGATTTCTTTTATCCAACGAATCTGAATGACAGAGAAAAGGGTTCAAGCAATATACAATAAGAATGGAATAATAAAGGACAAGTAAAAGCATTACAAGTCTGCACCCCTAGAATAAGTTTCCCACAACCCGGGTGGATGTAATGGGAAGGGGGGGATCTTGGCCCAACGAATATCACTTATTCTGGTGTTTGTTAATGATGGTACACAATCGGTTTATGTACTAATGAAGATCTTTATATTGGAATTCGTTTTCTATTATTTGTTTTTGCCATATCCTTAATAACAAGTTGGTTACACCTACAATTAAAATGGAAACCGAGCATTTCGTGGTTCAAATATGCCGAATCTGGTCTTAATCATTATTTGTTAGGACTAGTTCCTTGGCATGATGTCACGGATTGCAGCTTTACTTAAACCCCGTGACTCTATTGCAGCCGCAGTTTGCCCAACATCGACCGTGCATTATAAATATTTCATTTAATTGTAAAATAGTTGGTAGAAAAGTTTAGTATGATTATTCGGCTTTTTAACGTCTATTCCCATCAATCGGATTTTTGTTGCTAAATCTATTATAGGGGGTATTATTAATTTTTCAAACATTTTCAAGCTTTCTAGGGTTCGCTCCCTACACTAGCCATTATAATTTCCTGTTTTCGTCTATTGTAATGTTTAGATTTCAAGCAATTAATGATCAAGTTTATTTCAATGTATTTCAATTTCATGTTGTAAGTTTTCTATAAATTATGATCAAATTTCTTTTCGTCCTGAAACGACCGAGAGAAGGCGGAAGGTAGTCAAGCGGAGTAAACTACTGCTGCACGGTGTCCCTTTCTGTGCTAAGAAGAAAGGTAATCCGTGAAAGTTGGTATCAGAGCTGCGGCTCGAGACCCTCGATAAGAAAGCCATGGATCCAATGGAATCAAACACCACTGAGGTGGTAGATCTTCAAAAGAGAAATACGAAACAGCGCGTGGATGCACTTGAAAGGACAACTGCTAGGTTGTGCTATGCTGCGGAAAGTATAGACGAAAGAGTCGAGGCGGCAGAGGCGGAGATTCGTGAATTAAACGCCCAACTGGGTGAAAGCCGAACGGCTTGCACAGCAATGACTGGAGCAGATGCTATCATTCCTGATATTCAGGACGAGGATGGCGCAA